CTTGTATGGCCGTGGCCCCGCCCCCAGCGTGCCCGGCGTCATGACGTCACTTCCCTGTGACGTGCACGCTGGGGCGGGGTTCCCCCCGGGGCCCGATTCCCTGGCGTCGGGGAACGGGCCTCTGGGGCGGGGGGATTTCCGCCCCCCGGGGGGATTTGGCAGCCCTATACAGGAGGGGCCTGTGGAGACGTGGACTCCATGGAAGGCCATGTGCAGAGAGTGAGAGGACAAAGCGAGGGAGAAGAGGGGACAGAGGGCAGCTCCCAGGTTAAGACAAAGAGAGGCACCCCCTTCAAGGAGATAACATCTATGCTCATGTAGAGTGATGTAGCCCCCCCCCCCCCAGTGTCCAGGCATGCTGGGTCGCTCACTCCAGCACCCCCTCCCCATTGCATCCCTCCCCCACCCACCTTGCCTGCATGGCCCCCCACCACTACCCACCAGTGTGTCCTCTCTCCGTGAGCCCTCCCACCTCCCATATTCCAGCCACATACAAAACGAGCTGGTCCAGGCTGGCCCAGTGATTCATGCAGAGACATAACAGGCAGCCTTGGCAACCAGGTGGCAAGACAGCTGCATTGGTGAGGGAGTGCGAGAAAGGACACAGGGGCCAGTGGCAACGGGCCCTGCTGGAAGGTCCGGGCCTCAGCATCTGCCCCACATCAGGGCCTGATGACGCCGACCCTGATCCCGGCCATCCAAACACTCCAGGCGTACAAGATCATGACTAGATGGTATCTGACACCCGAAAAGCTAGCTAAGATGACATCGGACCACTCTCCTGTGTGCTGGAAGCAATGTGGGGAGTTAGGCTCTTTTGCCCACTGTTGGTGGGGATGCAACGCCGTGTCTGACTTCTGGCAGGATATATTACAGCAAATAGAACTAATCACAGGCAGTGTTCCCTCTAAGCTGTGGAGTCTTGTGAGCAAAAATTCTACTATGTGAGCTACTGGCATGAAAGTTGTGAGCCAGCGATTTGGCTACTGGATAAATTAGTTTGCTCTGGAGCTGTCCTTCCTGAGCGAAGACAAGAATGTGTGAGCTGGAGGCTAAAAAACTGTGAGCTAGCTCACACTAACTCAGCTTAGAGGGAACACTGAACAGGCTACTCTGTACCATTCAAGCCAGAGCTAAATTTTTTAGATGACTGGCATGAAACAAACATACCTAAAATAAGACAAGAGCTGGTAACGAGTCTCCTAGTGGCTGCCAAAACTTCAATAGCGGCTGTGTGGAAATCTCCCTCGGCCCCGACGAGAAACAACTGGTTTAAAAAAGTTTGGGACCACTTTGGAGATCAGAAATATACCCCAAACAATCCAACTTTGATGCCAAATGGTTTCCGTTTTTAGATTATATCCTTACGCAAGATTGTCACCCACATAATCCTTTGTATCGCACTTTGGTCTTTTCCTAATGTTAGTCTTTCATGCTGTATCTCTTCTTCTCTTTCATTCGTACTATTTCGCGTTTGATCGTGGAATTCTCTGGCATTATCGACATCTCACATGGGTACAATAGTGGAATAGTAATCATGGTCTTCTTTCAAATGGGGTCAAAGCACCTAACAAACATAATGCCTGATTGAGCCCCAGAGGTCATTTCAGGGGGGATCGCGGGGGATCGCAGTTACCCCGGGTGAGGTACGGGGGCGGGGCACATGACGAAGCCCCGCCCCCTGCTTCCGGCCCTCATTCAGCCAGGAGGAGGCAGGAGAAGTGGGAGGGTAAGTTGCTTCCTCCCTGCCTCTCCCCACCCCTGCCTGCCTGGGGCCAGGGAGGGCCTTCGCGGGGCTTCCTTGCACTCCCGCCGGCCTTGCAGGTCCACCGCTGGGCCCCTCATGGGGCTCGGCAGTGGAGCTGCAAGGCCGGCGGTGGCGGCCGGGACCGTTGGGGGCGGGGTGTGTGGCCTTATGACACATTTCCGGTGATGTCAGGGGGTGTGGCCTTATGACACACTTCCGGTGATGTCAGGGTGTGTGGCATAAGCTAATGAGTTATGCTAATGAGTTCCCCTAGCTCTTTTTCTACGAAATGACCCCTGTTGAGCCCCATGAGTTTAAAAGCTAGCACATGCTTATCTTGAATAGGGAGCTGTAAACGTACTTGTGATTAATGAATGAGGTTAACTACATGAATGTGCGCTATGATTTATCGATGTATTGTTTGAACTTCAATAAAGTTTATGAGATCTTTAAAAAACAAAACAAAAAAACACTCCAGTTGGCTGTTAAATTTCAACTCCCCCTTGTTTAAGGTAAATCTGTTTCTAACTTTAGTGATGCCTCACAGGCGTCATTTCGTAGAAAAAGAGGTGCAGGATCTCATTAGCACAACTCATTAGCATAACTCATTTCCATATGCCACACCCCCTGACATCACTGGGAGTGTGTCAGAAGGCAACACCCACCGCTCAGGCTCCACTGGACCGTTTTGGATTGCTAGCTATGGGGGGGGGGGAACGCGCAGATCTGCCCTCACAGAGGAGGAAGAGCTTGTTCCTGAAGGTGGGCCAGGGGGGTGGCTCTGCAACTTAACTGGCTGCTTCTTGCTCCTCGTGGCCCGTTTGAGGGCTGCTGGGAGCAGGGGGCGGGGCTTGTTGCATGTGCCCGCCCCCTGGGCTCCTTACTGCCGGAGCTCCGCTCCTGTGCGCTCCCGCAGGAAATGACCCCTGATGCCTCGTAGGCTGGCCTTCTAGCTGCAGACGTTTCCTCCTTTCAACAGCTACCTTCCCCCCTTGCAATAAGTGTGTATCCACCCGCAGGCTGAGCTGCACAGGAAAGATACGGAGCTAAAGCTAGAGAAGGAGCAAAATAAGCGGCTCTGGGATCGGGACACCGGCAGCAGCATCACCATCGACCATTTGCGGAGAGAGCTGGACAGCAAGAACATGGAGCTGCAGCGCATGGAGTCCTTGGTCAATTCCGTGAAGAAGGAGTACCAGGACCACACGGAACGTCAGGTCAGGAGAGGCGGATGTAGCCCAAGAGCAGTGCTCCCTCTACGCTGTGGAGTCTCACGAGCAAAAACTCTGCCTCGTGAGCTACCGGCATTCAAGTCGTGAGCGAGCGATTCGGCTGCTGCATCAGTTAGTTTGCTCTGGAGCCCTCCTTCCTGAGCTAAGGCAAAAATGTGTGAGCCGGAGGCTAAACAACTGTGAGCTAGCTCACACGCACTCAGCTTAGAGGGAACACTGTGCTCCCTCTAAGCTGTGGAGTCCTGTGAGCAAAAATTCCACTTTGTGAGCTACTGGCTTCAAAGTTGTGAGCGAGCGATTCGGCTGCTGCATAAATTAGTTTGCCATCTTTCCTAAGCTGAGACAAAAATATGTGCGAGCTGGGGGCTAAAAAACTGTGAGCTAGCTCACACGCACTCAACTTAGAGGGAACACTGGAGAGTGATAGAAACCTCACCGAGTCAATGGGAACTGTACACCCCACAGCTTCTACAGCGGTGCTTCCAAAATGCTAGGAGCCAAATCAGTGCTCTCCCCCCCCCCCGAATTGAACCTTGGGGGCTTATGTCACCCCCAAAACCTGAGCAATTAATCATGCTCAGAGGCCCTCAGCCCATATATTTTGTGGAGCAAGGTTGTGGGTGAGCACGTGGGGGGGGGGAGCACGTGGGGGGGGGGCTGCGTTGCTAGTTGTGGCACTGCATCCCTTCCAGTAAAAGCCTATGTCACATAGGGTAACTCTAGGAATTGGTAGAAACTCTTTGGTTTTACCACAGTTTCTGCCAATCCCTAGAGCTACCCTGTGGCACTTGCTGGTTTTTACCGGAAATGACGTAGCACCGCATATGATGCTGTCTTTTTTAAACATAAAATTCTCCCCCCATTATTAGGCAACAGAAGCTAGGGGCAGGGAGTCCCCTGTCCCAACTGGGATCTTGGCAGCCCTTAGTCTCTACCTCAGATCTGGACGTAAAAGGAAACAGGAGTCTAGGGGCACCGTAAAAGACATAATGTTTATTCCAGCATAACCTTTTGTGAGTCAGAGATCTTGTCCTCAGGTGGATTGGAGTGTATATCTATTAATATGGTGTAAAATGGGGTTGTGGTTAAGTGCACGCACTCTAATCTGGGAGAACCGGGTTTGATTCCCCACTCCTCCACTTGCAGCTGCTGGATGACCTTGGGCAAGCCATAGTTCTGTCAGAGCTGTTCTCTCAAGCAATGCTCCCTCTAAGCTGTGGAGTCTTGTGAGCAAAAATTCTACTTTGTGAGCTACTGGAATTAAAGTTGCGAGCGAGCAATTTAGCTACTGCATAAATTAGTTTGCTCTGGAGCCATTCTTCCTGAGCTAAGAAAAAAAGGTGTGAGCTGGAGGCTAAAAAACTGTGAGCCAGCTCACACTAACTCAGCCTAGAGGGAGCACTGCTCTCAAGGACAGTTCTGGAAACCCGGTTTCCTACCTCACAGGGTGTCTGTTGTGGGGAGGGGAAGGGAAAGGCGTTTGTAAGCCGCTCTGAGTGAAGAGCGGGGTATACATCCAATCTCCTCCTCCTCCTCCTCCTCCTTCCTAGCTCAAAAACTCCGAAGAGGGGGCACCCCGCCCCTTTCGGATCCGACGCACACGCGGGATTCCTGCCTGGCTGATGCGTCACGAGCTCCATCTGCAGGCTTCTCCTTCCCACAGTTCCTTTATCACCACCACGAGGATAGGAGGCTCCTGGCTCTGGGATGCAGAGGTTTAGTGCCTCTGAATATGAAGGTCCCCCTCAGCCATCGATAGCCTTATCCTCCATGAATCTATCCAATCCCCTTTGAAAACTGTTTACTCCTGTGGCCATCACTACATCCTACGTGTTTTTGTTGTAAAATAGTCAAAAGTGTTTAATACTCAGACTATTAATGGATCTAGCTGTATTGGGAAGAAGAGATTTCTTTGCTTTTAAAAACCTTTATTTCTAAGGGTAAAAGGTATACGGGATTACTACGAATAAACATATCACTAACAGCTACATTTTCTAAGCTGCCTATAGTCAACACTAGCACACAGATAATCGAGAAACTCTCCTTCTTCTTGACCCCTAGAAAGGAAGTCACCTGAAACAAATGACCAATCTGTATCACAGTAGAAAGCTACTTTTCCCGGGCTGATTCCCCATTGGCTCAGTGCCAGGTATCCCTTCCAGGTCGGTCTAAACAATAGCAATACTAGGAAAACAAGTTAACCCTATAATGACTGAATTGTCAGACCTTGTAAACACATACATTTCCAACAGTTTTAATAAACAAAAGCATGGGGAAAGGGAGCTGGGGCCGGTGGCAGCAGTCAAGCAAGCGAAAGACTATTTGAGAAGAAGTTCAGCCACTCATATATATCCAGGTTACAGGCCCACCGTAGGAATATGTAAAAATGCTGTCTTCTCCACCTGCATTCCCAGGCGGAGGAAGTGGAGAACAAAGCCGGCCTGGTTCCATGTGCCCTCTAACCAAAAAAGGGCTTATGCCCCCGTATGTGTTCGATTTATATTAGCTACTAGCAAAAATTGTGGCAGGGTATGAGCTGAAGAAGTGGGCGGTGACTCACGAAAGCTCCTCCCCTGCCACAAATGGCGTTAGTCTTTAAGGTGCTGCTGGACTCTTGCTCTTTTTCTGCTGCTACAGACAGAATCATAGAATCGCAGAGTTGGAAGGGGCCAGACAGGCCGTCTAGTCCAACCCCCTGCTCAATGCAGGGTCAGCCTAGAGCATCCCTGACAAGTGCTTGTGCAGCCGCTGCTTAAAGACTGCAAGTGAGGGGGAGCTCACCACCTCCCTAGGCAGCTGAGTCCACTGTGGAACAACTCTTATTGTAAAAAAGGTTTCCCCAGGGGTCATTTCGTAGAGAAAGAGGTGCAGGAGCTCATTAGCATAACTCATTAGCATAACTCATTTGCATATGCCACACACCCCTGGCACCACCGAAAGTGTGTCAGAAGGCAACACCCACCCCTGACGCTCCACTGGACTGTTTTGGATTGCTAGCAATTGGGAGCGGGGAATGCGCAGATCGGCCTTCACAAAGGAGGGAGAGCTTGTACCCGAAGGTGGGCCGGGCGGGGGGGGGGGGGCTCTGCAGCTTACCTGGCTGTTTCTTGCTCCTCGTGGCCCGACTGAGGGCTGCTGGGAGCAGGGGGTGGGGCTTGTTGCATGTGCCCGCCCCCTGGGCTCCTTACTGCCGGAGCTCCGCTCCTGTGCGCTCCCGCAGGGAATGACCCCTGGCTTTCCCTAATCTCCAGCTGGTACCTTTCTGCCTGTAATTAAAACCCAGGATTGCGAGTCCTCTCCTCTGCTGCCAACAGGAACAGCTCCCTGCCCTCCTCTCCGTGACAGCCCTTCACATATTTAAAGAGAGCCATCCTGTCCCCCCTCCACCTCCTCTTCTCCAGACTGAACATTCCCAAGTCCCTCAGCCTCTCCTCGTAGGGCTTCTTGGTCTCCACTGGCCCCCGACCATCCTCGTCGCTCTCCTCTGCACCCGCCCCATTCTGTCCACATCCTTTTGGAGAGTGAGGCCTCCAGGGGCGGCCTGACCAATGCAGCGTACAGCAGGACGATGACATCTTGCGATTTGGATGTTTATCCCCTCTGTTGATGACACCCCAGGATCGCATTAGCCTTTTATGTCGTCGCATCACACTAGCTAGCACATCACACAGACTAGCACAGCTACTCGTCTTGATCTATATCGGCCATTGGGGAAGGACCGAAGGTGAGAAGACGAGGTGGGCACGTTGCAAGCATGATGATATCAGTTCCAGGGGAAACCTAGACGTGACAATGGTAGCTTGGGAATCCCCAGAAACTCTATTGTTGTTCTTCAGTTGCACAGTCGAGTCCGACTTTGCGTCCCCACTGTTGTGTCCGCAGAACGCCACCAGGGGTCTGCGTCCTCAGTCCCCAGCTTGGTTCCTAACACAATAGGGGCCAAGGATCCTAGGCCACCTTGAGTCCTCCGATAGAACCGTTGGCGGGAGATACAAACCCTCCAGTAGGACTGTGGGTGTGTCTGGGGTGGGTGTATATAGTTGGCCCTTGCTGGGCCCTTTGCGTCTCTTGTGTGCGTACTACAATAAAGGGGACTTGTCCAGCATGTCGTAGTCCGCCTCTCCATGCATAGAACCCAGTACTTTTCACCCACGGATCACATCACGCCAGGCCCTCCTGTCTTCCACCGTGCTCCTGAGTTTTCCTAATTTCATGTTCGTTGCATCGATAATTCATGTTCGTTGCATCGATAACACTGTCCGACCATCTCATCGTTTGCCGTCCCCTTCTTCTTTGACCTTCAATCTTTCCCAGCGTCAGGGTCTTCTCCAGTGAGTGCTCCCTTCTCATTTGGTGGCCAAAGTATTTCAGCTTTAGCATCTGGCCTTCCAGGGAACAGTCAGGGTTGATTTCTGTTAGGAGTCAGGACTGACTGATTTGATCTCCTTGCAGTCCAAGGGACTCTCAAGAAGAAGAAGAAGAAGAAGAAGAAGAGATTGGATTTATACCCCGCCCTTCACTGCCCAAAGGAGTCTCAGAGCAGCTTACAAAATCCTTCCCCTTCCCCCTCCCCACGACAGACACCCTTTGAGGTAGGTGGGGCTGAGAGAGCTCTTAACAGAAACTGCTCTTTTTCAAGGACAACTCTTATCAGAACTACGGCTTGCCCAAGGTCATCCAGCCAGGTGCAAGTGGAGGAGTGGGCAATCAAACCCGGTTCTCCCAGATTAGAGTCCGCGCACTTAACCATTACACCAAACTGGCTCTCAAGAGTCCAGCACCATAGTTCAAAAGCATCTATTCTTCGGCTCTCGGCCTTCCTTATGGAGAAAGTCTATCGTTTCCAACAATTCCTAGAGCTACCACTGCTCTAGGTTTTCCCTGGAAGTGACATCATCACGCTGCTCTTTAAAAAAAAAAAAAGCTCTTAAAAAAAAGAAGAAGAATGCCCCCCACCGCTGCTTGGCATAGCAGCCGGCAACAGGAACCTGGGGCGGGAAATCTTCTGCCGCAACCGAGGGATTGGTAGGCCTGATGTTACCCTACTCCGACAGCGTGAAACTGATCGTAAAATAGCTTCCTTTCCAGATGTCTGCAATCAAGGAGAAGAACGAAAGCCTCGAGAAGGTGGCCAGCATGACCGTCCAGCAGGAGTCCACCAAAGAGATGCTCCGTAAAGTCGTCGAGGAGCTGACGGAGAAGACGATCAGCCTGGAGTCGGCGGAGAGGCAGGTGGCCGAGCTGACGGTGTGCCTGCAGGAGAAAGAGAGGACGATCGATCTGACCAACAGCGAGATCCAGAAGCTCCGGGGACGGGTGGACAGCCGGCTGTACGAGCTCCAGCAGCTGAAGAGCGAAGGCGACCACCTGCGGAGTCTGCAGGCCGACTGCGAGGCCTTCCGGATGCAGCTGAAGGAGAAGGAGAAGGTGATCGAGATCCTGCGGAAGCAGATCGACAACATGACCCAGATTCTGGGCCAGCATGGTCGGACAGCTGGCGCCGTGGAGGTGGAGAAAGCGCAGCTCCTGAAGGAACTCCATGACAAGAAACAGGAGCTCCAAGAACTTAAGGTCTGTATGTTTTCCACCATCTCTACATTTACCATCCTTTTTTGTGTGTGTGTGTGGGGGGGAGATGTAACATTTCCAAAATTTTTGAAGCCATGGGTTTTTTTTTTAATACATGCAATACTTTCCTATCAAATCTAAACTTCTGTTACTGATTGGACAACATGAAGTACATTATTTATAAGTTACTTAGCACATACAACTGGTCTGCTTGGTGTAAGAACATAAGAGAAGCCATGTTGGATCAGGCCAATGGCCTATCCCAGTGGTGGCGAACCTATGGCACGGGTGCCAGAGGTGGCACTCAGAGCCCTCTCTGGGCATGCGTGCCATCGCCCCAGCCAGGCCCAGACCATCATTAAAGTGTCGAATTCTCTGCCAAATAATTTTAAGTAGATGAAAGCATTTGGGATCGCTTTCCTTACTTTGTTTGGATCATCTTAAGTTAATGTATGAGTTGTTTTTTCTTAAGTAAAACCTCAGTATTCAGGTTAAATTGCCGTGTTGGCACTTTGCAATAAATAAGTGGGTTTTGGGTCGCAGTTTGGGCACTTGGTCTCTAAAAGGTTCGCCATCCCTGGCCTGTCCAGTCCAACATTCACACAGTGGTCAAAACACAGGTGCCATCAGGAGGTTCACCAGCAGGGCCAGAACTCCACAGGCCCTCCCACTGTTGCCCCTCAAGCCCCAAGAATACAGAGTATCTGAAATATACTGGGCTCAAGACGCGTGTAGTGATCAGCTCATAGTTTATTAGTGATCCAGCTGACTCTAAGACAACACAAGCAGGGCTGGAGACCTGCTTATATGCGTGCACAAGACCCCACCCCCCACATACCCACTCCCTGTGATAGGCTAATTACATTCCCACTTCTCAGCAGTCGGTCCATTCCAGGTTCCTGGCTACCCATTGTTCTGGTGACTCAAACTTAGTTCGTATCAAGGTGCTGTCGTGGCTCAGTACATAACAGTATCACTGCCCCAGACAGAGTGCTCCATCAGTACCTTGTGGCTAATAGCCACTAAGAAAATAAGAGAAGTGGCCAAACCCCAGGTACCATCAGGAGGTCCACCAGCGGGGCCAGAACTCAAGAAGCCCTCCCTCTGTTGCCCCCCAAGCACCAAGAATACAGAGCATCACTGCCCCAAAAATAAGAACATAAGAGAAGCCATGTTGGATCAGGCCAATGGCCCATCCAGTCCAAACAATCCGGGTCACACAGTGGCCAAAACCCAGGGGCCATCAGGAGGTCCATCAGCAGGGCCAGAACTCCAGAACTCCCTCTGTTGCCCCCCAAGCACCAAGATTACAGAGTATCACTTGCCCCAGACAGAGTGTTCCCTCTATACCTTGTGGCCAATAGCCACTGATGGACCTCTGCTCCATATTGATTGAATGTTAAAAGTAGAAGTGCTTTTGTTTTTGAATAGAAGAAAAATTACAGGTATACCCAGTACTTAAGGAAATTTTAGATACTGTGCTGCCATAGTTACATGTATCTTTTCCCCATCCGAGAGATAGGGGAAAAACTGGAAGCTGAAGTTAGAAAACAGATTCTGTAATAAACAGAAGAAAGGGCATTACATTGATTAAACACACTCAAAACAGTCACAGTAGGTAGGACTACCAGCGTATTTGGATATTAAGGTAAACTTGTTAATAACGCATCATCGTCAGACTCTTAACAGCATACTTGTTGTTGCCAAAGGTATATACAGTTAGGTAAAGGTAAAGGTTCCCTTGCTCGAAAGCCAGTCGAATCCGACTCTAGGGTTGCGGTGCTCATCTCCGTTTCAAAGCCGAAGAGCCAGCGCTGTCCGAAGACGTTTCCGTGGTCGTGTGGCCAGCATGACTAAACACCAAGGCGAACGGAACGCTGTTACCTTCCCACCGAAGTGGTACCTATTTATCTACTTGCAATTTCTTGCTTTCGGACTGCCAGGTTGGCAGGAGCTGGAACCAGAGACGGGAGCTCACTCCGTCTTGCGGCACACTCGGGTCTCGAACTGCCGAACTACCGACCTTCCACAGCCTGCAGTTCAGCGTCTTAACCACTTGAGCCACCGCAGCTCCTTATATACAGTTACACACACAAAATTGAAAATGCCTACAGCAGGGATCCCCAATATGGAGCCCGTCCCCAGTGTGGAGCCCACGGACACCAGTTCTGACATGATGGGATAATGGGAGTTCCACCAGGTCATATATAGCCTGGTTTCTCAGTATTTGAGCAACTAAGAACATAAGAGAAGCCAGTGTTGGATCAGGCCAATGGCCCATCCAGTCCAACACTCCGTCACACAGTGGCCAGAAATACCAGGTGCCATCTGGAGGTCCAGCAGTGGGGCTGGGACACTAAAAGCCCTCCCACTGTCCCCCCCCCCCAAGCACCACTGGCAGGGCTCTTTTTGTAGCAGGAACTCCTTTGCATATTAGGCGACACCCCCCCTAATGTAGCCAATCCTCCAAGAGCTTACAGAGCTCTTCTTACAGGGGCTACTGTAAGCTCTTGGAGGATTGGCTACATTAGGGGTGTGTCACTTAATATGCAAATGAGTACCTGCCACAAGAAGAGCCCTTGCCCCAGAACCTAAATCCTTACACTGCTCATCAAGTAGCACTGTCTTTTCCCATTCTAATGTCATGCATTTGCCTGTTGCTTGTGGCAAGAAAGATTTCCAATGAATCAGGTTTGGGAAAGCTGTGCATTTTCCTCCCTTCCGGGCCACAGACGCCTTGACGATAGGTCTGTGTGGCCAAGCGGGTTGCTGAAAATGACTGTGGACGTCCTTGCAAGACGGCCAGTTTTATTTCTGCAATATAAAATCCAGAGTACCAAAGCAAGAACGAGTTTGCTTCCATAGCTTTCTCAGGACAAGAAAGAAAGCCGGATTTACGAACTAGAGGCCAGCCTGAGTGAGATGGAACTGGAGAAGGTGAAGGTGGTGAACATGAATGCCGGGTTGGTTCTGGAACGGGACGAGCTGGTGAACAAAGTAAAATCCAGTCGACTTGATCTTGTTGCACTTGCAGGTAAAGCACGTCAGATTGCGTGTTCCCCTTCTTCGGGTCCTCATGTTATTTATTTTCTCTATGTTCTAGGGATACTTGGCACCGCCCTGAGGTCCCCAGGAGCTTCAGAGGCATGGCAACTTGGCAAGGGGTGGAAATGATGTCGGTCTAGGGTCCCATGTCATGTCTGGGCAAAAACCCAGCTGTGATGTTAGCTTGTCGGCGGATGCTCTAAAAACTCTATGATATTACCATAGAGTTTCTATTGGGTCATGTGACATCAAGTCCAGGTTTTTGATCAGATGTGATACCAACATGTAGCCAGATGTCATTCTTGTCCCCTACTGTTTCTCCTGCCAGCCCGAGAGGTGAGGGTGGGTGGAAGGGCCTTTAGGTGGGAGATCGCCCACCGGAAGTGGGCATCGGGCATCCCTACTGTGGCTCCCTACATGCCTAGATATAATTTCTGTCTCCTTCTTTCTGTGCTGGTTGTGATGGACCTCCAAGGTTCATCCCTGTTGGGACAGCCCTACTCGACACTGGGTAAACCGAGTGGCTAAAAAATAAATCTGGACAAACACAACCCAATCAGTAAACAAGTATAAAGCCAACAGTCGTGATAGTCTGACCCACAAATCAAACAGTTATTAAGACTTATAAAGAATGCTACGTATTGCAATCTGAAGCACTACAACATAATAAACAAATCATAAGAAAATCCATGAACCAAGGTACATAATCAACGTCGTCTCCGGATTATATAACAGCGTTTCAAAAAACGGATCTTCTTCAGGAGATATTCTGTAGTGTACAAAAATACAATTTTTAGAATACATGCTACACCAATAACAAGAGACAATACAATAATCTTAGTGCTTACTTACATAATGGTGCCAAAGCTCTCTGTTTCATAAATGCTAGACAACAAGTCTTAAGAAATCTGTAATACAAGAAAGGGGACCTGCGAAAATCA